AGATGATCCATGTTTTGTTTCAAAGGCAGATATTGTATTTTAAAATTGCCCTCGAATGCCAGGAGAGATATGAAATATTTGATAAAAAAAACCCAGAACAATATTTTTCATAATTTGATCTCAACATTTTCCAAATTTCTGTCTGTTAATGAAAATCGTCTTCCCATTCTACCGTATACATAAATAAATATTAAAATGTTGTTATCGTTATTAAAATGTGATAATTTTGAAAGCACACTTAAATATTGATGTTTTCCTTCCTTTTAACATATGAGATCGTACACAAAAGAAAACTATTTTTCGTGCTTGAAAACTTGAAAGCATAGTAGAATTACATTGTACCATTTATCTCTACACATACTAAATATATAGCTATTATTTCATAGTGTGTCTTACCTTAACGTTAAAAGAATCAATTAAAATCAATAAACATGTAGGTCTCCTGATGCAATCACTGATTTACAATGCACGGGGCCGCTTTGTCTGGTTTGCTTGACCACTTCCTCAGATAGACGTTTTTTGGAACAGTTACTGCTACTGTTCGTTGTTCATAATAAATGTTCAACGCCCATCCCACCCACGTATCTAATATAACGAATTCCTAAGATGTGTTGTCAGTAGGATTGGTTTCACATGACGCAGTCAAAAAATATTTGTTCAATGTATGGAAACAGGAGATGGTAATCCCTCCTTTTTGGTGTTGCGTTGCACTTAATATACAAGTGTAGTACGAAAAGTATTGCAGTGTTATTGGTTATGGCCGTTTTTTAAGAATTTGTTAATTACTGTTAAGATTGCGACCGTGAGCGTTGAAAAGCGGGAATATTTGATTTTCATAGTGGATTAGGTCATGGTTATGTAAAAAGAGATTCAATGCTAGTTTTAATATCATCTTGATCAACTGATCTTGTTTTTATCTATAAATTACATTTTATACCTGACAGATAACAGCCTAGCAATTGATAGGGTTTTTATACCAGACAGGTATCAGCCTAGCGATTGGTAAGGTTTTATACCAGACAGATATCAACCTAACGATTAGTAAAGTTTTTATACCAGACAGGTAACAGCTTAGCAATTGGTAAGGTTTTTATACCAGCCAGGAATCAGCCTAGCGATTGGTAAGGTTTTTATACCAGACAGGTATCAGCCTAGCGATTGGTAAGGTTTTTATACCAGACAGGTATCAACCTAGCGATTGGTAAGGTTTTATACCAGACAGGTATCAACCTAGCGATTGGTAAGGTTTTATACCAGACAGGTATCAGTCTAGCGATTGGTAAGTTTTTTTTTACCAAACAGGTATCAACCTTGCGATTGGTAAGGTTTTATACCAGACATATATCAACCTAGCGATTGGTAAGGTTTTATACCAAACAGGTATCAACCTAGCGATTGGTATTGTTTATACCAGACAGGTATCAGCCTAGCGATTGGCAAGGTTTTTATACCAGACATGTATCAGCCTAGCGATTGGTAAGGTTTTTATACCAAACAGGTATCAACCTCGCGATTGGCAAGGCTTTTATACCAGACAGGTATCAACCTAGCGATTGGTAAGGTTTTTATACCAGACAGGAATCAGCCTAGCGATTGGTAAGGTTTTATACCAGACAGGTATCAGCCTAGCGATTGGTAAGGTTTTTATACCAAACAGGTATCAACCTCGCGATTGGTAAGGTTTTTATACCAGACAGGTATCAACCTAGCGATTGGTATGTTTTTTTTTTTTACCACCAACAAATCAAAGAGCTAAATTCGTACCTTCAATTTTGTTATGACATATTCCATGGGTGCAGAGAGCGTAAGTGAGCGTAACTCCTGAAGTATTGAAGATGGAAAAACATATTCTCTTCCGCACTATATTTCCGGTTCTGCTAGGGAAAGACAATTTTTTCTTCGCCAACGTAGAGAAAGACATCACAAAAAGGCTTTTGTCCAGAAAGGTCATCGTCGCATCTTTATTTTATGCGATGTAACCTTGGTAACGTTTTCAATTTTGTCATACATTTAATGCGGCTTTGCTGATGACAAGGTGCACTTGGGTTCAGTATCTCATTATTTGACAGCAGTAAAGTGTCGGAGAAAAGAAATCTATCACTCTAATGGGATGCAGACAGAGTAATGTCGCCTCTTGGTATGATTATATTTTGCTGTCTACATCGCACATCACTTATAGGTTATATAAACCCGGTATAGGTATGTAGCAACATTGAGAGCAACTAACTTGAACAGTCGCGAAAAAGTGCAAATCCGATATAGGTACATTACAAAAAAATATATATTAAAAAGGTTCATAAAGAGGAACTATATTTGAAAAGCATCTGGACAATTTTTATGACGAACATGCAAAATTGTTTGGTAATTTCAGAAGGCGCCGTAGATTTTCAATGGATTTTAGAAGATTTGAAAATATTGATAGGAATGAAAGGACATGTACATTATGTAGCACCGATAAATGTTACATTTGGGAAACGAGTTCCATCCTATTTTATCAGTTTTCACAGTACATGACCAGTGGTGACTATTTTATTGTTAGATTTTTTTGTGATGAGTCAAGAGGCATACAGTACATTTTATCTCTTCTATAGTAACATTTTGTAGCGGCCTTATTCAATGAATAGGTCTAATGAACAGAACAGATATTCGAAATATGTGTAAGATAATTTGGGTTATTGCATTGTGTGAGTATGACGCTAGTTGAACATTTCAATTAGATGCTGCCTTAAAAAGAAAAAGAAAAAAAGGATTGTATTCCATCCAATTCTTTTTGTTTGGAAATTATCAGATATTCGTTGTTTTTATTCATGTTGCTGGGATATGAAACTATTTTTCTTGCGTTTCGCTTGAAATACGCGAGTAAACTATCATGCAAATTAATATACTGATGTATTCATGTGGTGTAAATACGTTTTAAATAGAACATTTGCTAAACATATAACGTAGTGCTTTTGTTTATTTTTTTAATGAACAAATTGACCGATTAACCGGTTACTCGATCGGCAGATTTTTCGAGTAACCGGCTACTGAAATTTAACGGTATGAAAACCCTACATTTAGTAGATTTTTCTTTTTGTTTAACAAAAATACGTAAACCTGGTCATTTTAATTGTTGACGTATTGCTCCATTTCAGCATTTACAAATATTGATTGACGTTTTGTCCCTACCGAAAGGGCAATACACTTATAATATCAGTCGCTTTCATTTGGATTATGCTCTACATAATGTGTTTTTAATTAAATGAGTGATATCGATAACAAGACAAAGATAATTTCCTGATGACCTATATCATTATCAAAAGTAAAACAAAAATGAATACCGATGGGCATTCGTTCGGTGTTGTTCTTTATAAACATTAATGAAAACTGGCCTTTCTGTTTAAAGAATCGGAGACACAATACTACACATTTACACAACCTACATATGTATATACCTACATATATATATGTATCTTAGATATCGCATACATGTATCTATTCTGCTCTGCTGATTTTGTAATGACAGAATATTAGCCACTGTGCAAAACACCTTGTCGAGAAGGTGTTTGAAGTGGTGCTTTGAACATCGATATAAGGGATTGTGCGGTAGCGGAACGGTGAAATTGACGATATTTCATATCTGACAATAATCCTTGACACTTTCGAAAGCATATTTACCGCTTGGTGTAAGCATTGCTATCGGTCAAAGGGCTATCTGTCAGTCATCAGGTATGTCAAAACATATGTAATAATATTGGAGGCATCACCCTTGGAATTCGAAGATGCTTAAATACCACACACGAGGATACATTACATACAAGCTCATTATACACTACCAAAAAGGATGCATTCTATAAGAACTTTACACAAAAGTCAACGGTAGAAAAAATATAGAATAACGTTTAATGAGCACATTCAAGTACTAAATGTAAGTGCCTTCACCTTTAAACAGTTCTTTCCGTGAAAAATAGCCAGTTCCTTTTCTGATTAATTCAAGAACCCCCAACACAAGTTATAAACGATGCCCATATCGTACAGCTAATCAACCTATTTCGTTTCCCATTCTGTACACTTCGCTTTGTACAGTTCTAAAGTCCATGACGTACAATACCCTGTCGAATATTTCGAGCCTGTCCCCTTTAAATTAACCCACTGCACACTGTGAATCAAAATCAAGTCCAGCACATACAGACATTAATTCCACTCCGGAATAGAAATCAGGGTTATTCTGCACAAGCATTCAAGCCCACTGCGTAGAGTAAATCGAATCAACTCCTTAATTAAAATCCAGCACATTCTGTACAACAAATTAAGTCAACTCTGTGCAGGTCTTATCTACTCCGTACAGCTTCCACACAGGTACTAGCCTCGTCTGTCAATACACCTATAATATAATTATTTGATAGGTGTATAGACAGACGAGGCTAGTACCTGTGGTTTTCATGCCCATTCTTCTATAAAGTAAAATCTAGTCCATTCTACAAATAAGCCAAATCAAATAGAAAGAACAGAAAGCTAATATCCACCCGACATTAAAACTTACAAATGTGTAGTGAAGTACACACTAACGTATACAGGTTTACAGTTAACACACGTGTACCTACAAAGCAGAATAGGTTTCTCCAAAGTTATTTATATACTACACTGTAGAATGGAAATTTTCATATATAGCGTAACGCCCGAACGATATCAGGCGATTAATAAAGCGTTAGCGTTTAACTTTGAATCAACGACACTAAGTTAAGACGATTCTTATTAAACTATACATGTAAATGCTTTTCACTTTCATTCACTAAAGACGCAACTGAGACAAAAGAATTAACTCAGAGTAACTATTGTTTTATATTAAAAGTTAAGTACGATTTTAAAATTAACACGAATATAATCTACAAATTAACTAACATTCCAAAGAAACAGGGATTTCCAACATGCATCCACATACTGAAACACGTGGTCATAGTACACTAATGTGACCGCACCCATATAAACACACATTCTAAAATATAAAAAGGACAACATACCGTACGCCTGGTAAAATCCCGTGTGCACAACCTTTTATATATTGTGGAGGTATACCAGCGGTCGTTCTATTTATACATTATCCAGGGTTTTCCATACTGTAGGCCACACAAAATGTTATTGACGACAGCTGGGTCTCATGGATAAATGATTAATGCACAGTTAAGATGTAAGAGGTTCGAACTCAAATACAAAATGTAATGGAAATATCTTGAGAATTACGAGCATTTTATCTACACCATTCGGGTCTTTCCGTCAGTGGTACTAAAGATCTAATGATTGTAAATACATGTATTAAGTGTCCCGACGTAAATGAAGAATAGTAAAAGGGGAAAATGTCCATTCTATGATGAAATGGACCTCGGAATTCTTCGATATTTCGATTTATTAACCTATGGAAGCTAATTGAGCGTGATCGAGTTGTCTGTGCAGTTAAACTCACTGTCATCATAATATTTCACATTCTCAATCATATGTCGAATACTCCGACTAAAATAACAGGCCTGATGTCACATATGGTCACACAATAACTGCATATATATATACATGGACATGCAAAATATTAGGTTACAGAATAAAAGATCAAAGTACTACAGGAAAATTCTACGAGACTACATTGCAAATTGTAATACCTTACAACACATTTCAAAAATGTTTCTAAAAACTGATGTTAGTGAGAAGTAACTAATTTTAGTAATACATAAAAGGTGACTTTTCCATAACCCTTCATTATAGGTTGGTTCTTGATTACCAATGAGTTACGCATCTAGGATGGCTTTCACTAAATGCAATAATACTTGTTAACAATTATTTGATATATAGAGAATAATACATGCCTTTTTCCATATCACACCCAGTATCAACCCGAGACTGCTATATCGGCCCAAGGGCCGAAAATAGATATGTATGGGCAAAGAAGTAATAACGACAGTGCAGACAAAGAACTTTGTCAAATATAAAGGGTGATCCGCCCCTTTATCAAGACAAAAACATGATTATTTACATATCACAACTTATAACAGAGATAAACTGTCATCACAAAACAATAATAGACAACAAAAAATACATTACCAAAAAAACAGTAGTTACTGTCATTGCGTATTACAACGTATTATTATCACCATCATCATCATCTTCCTGGACAGGAGCTGACCTTAAGGGGTGTGCTGCTCCAGCGACAGGGTGGCCATGTCTCGAACAGCCAGATAAAATGTATGTGTGTGTGTTTTTTAATGACAATTGAAAAGCTACCATTGGCACCAATCGTAGCTATGGATAAAACGAGGTCCTTGGTTCAGTGGTGATCTCAGTGGTGCCTTCCTTTGAGGTCCTCTGGTCGTAATGAGGACTGGAAGCTCTCCACTGTAGCTGTGGCCTTAATCTCACTGGGGATGTTGTTCCAAGTAGTGATGGTACGGGAGAGGAAGGAGTTTTGGTAGGTGTCTGTCTTGACCTGGATTTGCCTTAGGCTGCCGCTAGTGGCTCCACGGGTCCTTGCATCTACCTGCCGGATCTATTGGCTAAACTCTACTTCCACAACATTATTGATGGTTTTGTACAATAAAGTTGCCCTGGCCCTAGCTCTCCTGACAGCTAACGGTTCCCATCCGAGATGGTCCAGCATGACTGTCATACTACTTTCTTCTCTGGAGGAGTAGTTTTTGGTCACAAGTCTCGCCGCCTGCTTCTGGACTTTCTCCAGCTTGTCAGTATGTTGGACTTGGAAAGGGTCCCATACCGCTCCAGCGTATTCCAGTATGGATCGAACAATGCAGAGTGGTATACGTCCTTGCCCGTCTCCAACAATGTTAGAGGTTTTACACGGCGAGAAACTTTTGACAGGCGCCGCGTAACCTCTAACTACCCATATTTGATTTTCCCGATGCTGACGATCAAATTTTCAAAGTTCAGATTTAGAAAAAAGTATAGCGTGTTGACAAAAATTTAAATGTTCAACAGGGTCCAATAAATATTCCTTTCCATAAATCTATGATTTATTAAGAAGAATTTCGTGTCGAAGACTTAAATAAATAGTTTTTCCTCTTTCGAAGTGAGCTCGAAGTGAAGCAGACAGCATTGGCCGTGATTTCCCGGTTAATACAAAAATGGATTACATGCAATGATCTACAAACGGAATACAAACAAACTCCGTATCTTTCGTTCCGTTTGAAACACCCCCTGATAATTTGCATCAACTCAAGAAGCCGTGTTGTAAAAGTCGGTCAGAGTAGTGATACAACGACATGGGCATGCATTTTGAGTGTTCTATTCGTAATATACTATATATTTGTGTCTGTGGTATACATATGGGATATATATTATATGAACCATGAGGAGACATCGTTGTCATAAACTGTGAACCACTCTGCATCAAAGAATTAGTGCTTCGGAAATAAGAGGTCGCAGTCGGCAAAATCATATCCGATAGAAAAAAGGCCGACCAGCGGCCTCTTATGTTATAGGAGTAGTCCTTGCCCTAACCTCCTCAGGGCAAGCACGCAGGCTCCTTCGGAGGAAACCTACAGATCTTGCTGCCTTCGATGAGATAGTACTGATATGGTCGTGCCAGGAGAGGTCATTGCTGATGGAAACACCGAGGTATTTGGTGTTCTTGACCTCTGCAAGATTTACACCGTTGAAGTTGTACGTGTTATGTGCATGACGACGCATTTTCCGGATTGAAAGTCATCTGCCAGTCACATGTCCACTGATGAAGAGCGTTGAGGTCGGCCTGCGGGTTGGCGCTGTCTTTGGCAATTCTGATTGGTCGGTATATGATGCAGTCGTCAGCAAATAAGAGAATCCGACATTTCACTCGTTCTGGCAGGTCGTTAATATAAAACAGGAAAAGTAGGGGGCTAATCACGGTGCCTTGGGGTACTCCTGATAGTACGTCCGCTTCCGATGATTCACTCCCTTCCACGATGACTCGTTGCTTTCTGATGTATAAGAAGTTCCCAATCCATGCATGTAGGTTCCCCTGGATTCCGTAGTGGTGGAGTTTGGTGAGTAGTCGCTGATGTGGGACCTTGTCGAAGGCCTTGTAAAATCCAGAAGTATGATGTCTATCTGTTTTCCAGCATCCACGCCTTCGGCAATGTCGTCAATGGTCTATAACAATTAGCTGGAAACCAAAGGCTAATTATTTGTAGAAAATGCATCTTAAATACGTGAGGCCAGGTGAATTAATACAAAAAATCTTAACAAATCTAGTGAGAAAATTCTATATTGTAGTTGTTCGTGTAAACACAGCGTGAAAAAACCCCATCAAGAGACATGAATATATATAACAGACGTATATGTACGTTGTCATGTGATAAACTACATTCACAATGGCTGCTCTTAAGTAGTTATGTTTAATCAGGGTAACTCAAACGTTTGACATATATACTGATGATATGATACATTTTAGCATGCTTGTGAATCAGATATTTATACTATATGCAAGTAGATCAAATTACTTTTTATCATTGAACCATCATACATGACATCATTCCCCTTAAAGATGTACTCTTCTGAGGTTTAAATCACGTTCAAGTCTCGTTTTGATCTGGTGTAACGGGTTTTTGTAATATCTAACAAATTATGATCAAGTGTAATAGCAAACACGCATCTGAAAAATATGTAAAAAAAAACTAGATGCCTGATGTTTGTAGAACTTTTTTTACAAGAATTTTTAAAATTGACCAATTCGGCGGCCATTTTGAAAATGTGTATTAATGTGTATTTCTTGCCCTTCACAAAAGGTCAAAATTTCACCATTTTGAGACCAGATTCAAAAAAAGAAGCACACAACAGACCCCCCCCCCAACACACACACATTTTTATGGCTATTTTAGAAAGAAAAACACATTTTCGTTTGATTCATTAAATATTAAAAAAAGTTTAATAGCAGAACTTTTTCTATCAAGCATTAAATCTGCAAAAAAGGGTGAAAAAATTAGTATTTTTTCATTAAAAAAAAGGGGTAGGGGAAACTTAAAAGAATAAGATTAAGAAATTTTACTTCCATAATTTAAAAGAAAATAATATTTTTTATCAATTCTACAAACATTCATACATATCTGATAATACACTTGGATTTTTTTTATGAATTTGTTCTACAAATGGTCAAATCCAAAAAAATCACCTTAAATCACATATTGTGTTAAATTAGTATCTTTGACCGATCGATCAAAGCACAAAAACGAACAGAGGTGTACATCCTTAAGTAAAATATGGAGTTATAATTTAATAATATATAAGAAACATTATATCTAGTGTAAATTTGTAGTAAGCACAGATATAATACCGGTAAATTATTATTTTAAGTAAATCCAAAATTCCTACACACTTTATATAATTAACAGTTCTGTATTTCTTGAGTCCTTTATGAGCAATTAATTATAAGCATCCAATGGAACTTAACCAGTCAAAAAACACTATTTGTGTAATAAGTCATAGGGTCGATAGAATATATCAACATATTGATCGCTATAACCAGTTGGCACTGTGTAAATAATCATCTTTGCACCAGTCCATTTTATATCTTTTTCTAGCACAATAGTTCGACAGTAAACTTTTCAACACGTTATGCGACATAATCACGATATTTCTTGTTCGGCACAATAAATGACACAAAAACAATATTTAGAGAAATAATAGGATACAGTTAATATTTGAAAACGATAAGAACCTTGGTTAGCGTAATCCAAAGGCAGAATTTACTTTGACAACATCGTTGACCACTGATACTACGTGTGTGCGAACAACATACCGAGATCTTTTTGGAGGTTAAGGGAGTTTCTACGCCATGTTATCATCTTGGGGCGAATCGTCGTGTCATCTCTATTACATTTATAATTATTGTTTTTGTGTGATTTAATTATTTTGTTTATTTTTCTGTCTCGATAAAGGAGCGATTTGCTCCGAAAATTTGACATCATATTGTCTACACTGTTAGAATTACTTCCTTGCCCGATATATATATACATTTATATGTACATTAGCGTTTATAAATAGCTAGCAGGATAACTGAAAATTTTCATTTACAATCCAGTCACGTGCAATATTTACCTGGAAATATAAGAGGAAACAGAAAGTAGACAAGGATACATGTGTGAGAGATTACAAAAATATCGCATTAACAAGTACGAACTCGACCTGAACACGTATGGCCAGATTATCGCTGTAATCAAGGAATGTCTCATTTCATAGTCCCAGACTATTTCACTTAAATCAGTACTTTCGGTCTACAACGTAAAGCATGTAACTTTTCTTTTTAAATGGAAAGGTCCAGACAGGTGTATCTCAGAATGTACTACCACTTCACGCTAGTAAACTTACTTTTAAAACCTTAATTGTTTGAAAGTTTTGAAATTATGGTTTACCATTCTGACGATCTACCAAATGAGCTAAAGAGAATTTCTGCCTAACCGAGTAGGTAGGGTGGCTGGTATTTTACCAGGGTAACACTTACATAAAAAGTGTATGATATATCGTTGAACTTTCATATGATTGACCTTACACCGATTTTATAGTATACAGCGTTCTTATATACTTCATAGCACGTCTCATTTGATATCTTGTAAGCTATTTAAGGTATTTCATAATCTATAACAGACATATACATTAAGAATTGGTATGTATTTGTAATCTTGCCAGAAATAAATGCAAAGTACATGTAGGCTTGCCATAGTTCTAAGCCCTTCCTTTAATCATATATTATCTCGAGAATCCATGATGGATTGATCATGTAGACAACGAAACACGTCACAATATTAACAAATGTTTGCCTCCTAACTGATTGATAACCCTCGACCCTCTAGGCTCATTTTGGTGCGTATTATTTCCATTGTTTAAATAAACTCGGATGATCATTAGTATCCTTCATTATGATAAGCGTAACTACCTAAACGACCATTTTTATTGTATTGACCGATATGCATGATATTTAATAAAAGAATGCAGCTGCAATAACATCCGCCATGGGCACAGTACTAACTGTTTACATATAACTGACCTATAGGTACAGTACTAACTGTTTACATATAACTGACCTATAGGTACAGTACTAACTGTTTACATATAACTGACCTATAGGCCGCACATTGTTTCAATCAATGTGTTTTTACTAATATAGTAGCCCATAGCTGAAGTAAAGTTAATATTACTTATGATATCCAATGGGGTAAGTTATACGTTTTGTTATGAAACTCCCCCCTAGTCGCTAATCTTTGATAGTTGTAAATGCTTTGTTGTCAGTGGTAATCAATAAATTAATTCTACATATCAGTTATCTACGTATGTGCTTCAAGACTGGTCTGTTTATAGTAACATATTACCTATCAGTCTGTGGTTATCGTATAATAAATTTAACCCTTCGCAGTCAGTGCTAGAATCGTTTACAATAAAAATTACCACTAAATTAGTATGTTTACGTAATCACACAAACAAAACAAAACAAAGGGGACACAATGCTTTTTTTATTTTAAAAACACTAAATGTGTCATTTACAGAATCTTATCCAAAGTCTAGCTATAATGAAACAAAATTATATATATAGCTACGACTCCCTGAAAATAGTGTATATACTTCTTCACAAATGAGCATTTGCTAACGAACACCCAGCTTTGTTCAACAAAACATGCAAATAAAGTCTCTCTCCAAACACTTGTACAATTTGATCACTCAGTTTCAAAGCACGCATATTCAGTGATAGAAACACATACAATGTAGCTTTTTAAGAAAATTGGTAGACTGGTTTGGTGACGTCACCTGCAGTCCTGGAATATCTCCTGGATCCACCAATGATGTTGCGTATTTACCAAGGTAATCCTGAAATTCATCCTGACACTACTTAACAGCGAGTTTATCGTGGACACATGGCGTGCCGACCCCCATCCACGGGAATGGAGGCGCCCGTCACAAACGAGGAGTTGTCAGAGGCAAGGAAAGCTATAGCATTAGCCACCTCATCTGGCTCACCCGGCCTGCCCATAGCATGTGTCTCCCTGGACCGCTCAAGGAACTGGAATGCAAATATAATAGTACTGACGTTAGAATACTGAAACCTGCCATGTACAAACTGTTCTATAGAATCAATCAATCAGGAAGTAGGTAAGATGCTTAATTACAACAGTTTTAAAAATGGTCTTATGCAATGTATGTAGTACCGTATTTCAAGGGTAAATGGTATTGGCTACTGCCTAGTCATACTATATAAGTCTGTTTGTTTAATCTTGGAATGATTCCAAATGCCTTTACAATAAATTTAATCTTTTACGCATAACTCATTTGTAAATGAAATATTTTGGAAAAGAGCCAAACAAGTCACATTTATTTAATAGTGATTATGTATTTAAAATAGGAAATTCCAATCTACCATGAGGATATAAAAATCTGGTGACGATTAACATGTTTACAAAAAAATGACATCTTATTATATACATGACCAATCCATATGCATGAACATTGAGGTATATATTATATTTATCTATATATTGAAACTTAATTAAGTTGTAGACGTGGAATCTGGATGATTTTACAACTCTCCCTCTGTCTATCCGTCTGTCTGCCTCTCTCTCATCTCTCCTCTCTTTCTTTCTCTCTCCTGTTAAGTGTTTGTGTATCAGGATGCGTGTGTATGATGGTGCGATTTTTGTGTCACACGTATGTGTGTTTTCGTATGAACAGTGGATGTGTGTGGAATTTGATGTCCATGGGTAATTGTCATATTATGTATTTATGTGTAACATGTAAGGAGAATAACTCGTAACCAATGCCTGATTACATATATACATGACTCAAAGAAACAGATTCATAATGCTTCTAATGGCAGTTTCACAATACAAGTTAAAACAAAGCTACAATGCTTGTGATGACACAGTAACATACTAGTGATGGCACAGTTACAATGCTAGTGATGACACAGTAACATACTAGTGATGGCACAGTAACATACTAGTGATGACACAGTAACATGCTAGTGATTACAGCCACAATGTAAGTGATGACACAGTAACATGCTAGTGATTATAGCCACAATGTAAGTGATGACACAGTAACATGCTAGTGATTATAGCCA